TAGGGTAGGCTCCGAGCCCCTCGGTGGGGACGTATAGTGAGCTGATGATGAAGCATTAAACGTTTCTATCATCTAATTATCTGAAACTAGTTATAAAAAAAAGATTAAAATATCTACAAATTACAAGTTCAATAATGAACTAAATGAAGTATAAGTAATAAAAATCAATATCACATATAGCTCTTTTATGTAGTGTCAAGAGTGAATGCAAAATAAAAAGAGGGTTGTTCACGTCCACCCTAACGCTTGCAAAGCTTGGCTTTGATGCAAATTTTCCCGCTAAACCCCGACACTTGCTCTCGGTGCAAAATACACACTTCTAAATCACACACGATGCATGTTTAACTCTTGTTGTTTCAATATTATTTACTTTGTCTTTACATCGTACTAATATTATAAATGTGAATGTTTAAGTAGATGGATGGTCTTTGTCGGGTAGCGGTTTTGCAAAATTAAAAGAAATCACATGTTTTTGATTATATAAGACTCGAAGGACCAAGTTAATTGAGTCATTTAGTTACCATCTTTACTTTTAGACGTTTACAATAAAGAAATGCTAAGCATTTACGAAGCGAGGATGTTTACTTTTGTACATCTGTTGATGTGTTTATTATTATAACTGTTAGAAATAATTGTAATTTTTGTCAGCAGGCGGAGTCGGACCGTGAGAGCGGCGCGAGCTCGCCAGAAGGCGGCGGCCGACTGCCGGCCGAAGCGCGTTCGCCGTCGCCGCGCGCGCGCTCCCCCCACCACAACACACACTTGAATGGCTCCAGTGAGTTCGTACAACAACTTATTCATTTTTCGATGTTGTATCTTCCTAGCAAGACGTCTAGATAGGTTTTTGTGCGGGTAGAAATAAAATTTCTTCATGACTGAAACACTTTCAATTAATTTAATCCGACACATTCAAAACACTTGTGTATGTATTTTTGAGCATTATCTTCAGCGCAAAAGTTTGTCTAGACTTTAGTTTTTCATCTACCCTTATTCTGCATAACTTCTTAGACTCATTCTCTACAATTACTTATTAATGTAAAATAATTAAGGCCAAAACCACTTTAAACAAATTTAAAATGTTGAATAAGTATGCATCTAACATTTATAAAAGAAAATTCATCTGATGATGATATACCAGAGGCCTGAGCCTTAAGCCTTACCATATTCCTAAAATTCCTGATAAAATATTTAACAACCTAAAAAATATAACGTTAGTCCCAAGAAACTGAATCAATTACTTGCAGTATACATTAAAATAAGTTAACTAAAGTAGTAGTGAAGTTAAAAATTTAGTGACGTAATAACCTTTAAATTGCATTTAACCATGACGGTTGTCCCACAGTGGCATCGATGTTCCAAAACCTCCAGAACTTGGCGAGCATGCAGCAGAACATGGCGCCGATGTCTCAGCAGCAGATGTCCCAACAGATGTCCCAGCAGATGTCCCAGCTAGCCGCCAACCTGCAGGGCCTCAACTCTATGCCATCCAACCCTGTCATCAACTCGCCCTTGAACCTCAGCGTTAGTGCCCCAGGTAGGAAATACCCACAATTATTAGATTAAAAAATAAGATTTCTTGATAAAAATTTAAAAACTAAATCGGTTTTTCTCATATTAGATTCATCATCATTTTAGGACTTTTTGCTATCCATCAATATAATGTTCGGTCACTCTACCTCTGTAGCCTTCCAGATTCCATCTCATTACATTTGCAAACTTATTTATGTAATTGATTGACCCTGACCGAGATTATAAACTGCAATCATAGAGGTGAAATTATAATCTTTGTGCCTTTAAAGAATTGTGTATCTTATCGTTTAATAATTTACCATTTATATAATTTAAATGTATTCAAGTTGTTTTACGTATAATGATGTATTAATACTAACAAATAATATTATGGAGTGACAGTTTACTTTTAATAAAAGTTTATGTAGAAATTAACGTTGATGTTGATTAATTGGCACCAAATTTCTAATACAGTATACTGTCAATTTGGTTTTAAATGGCTTTTATTACCCACCATTAACAAACAAAATATAGAAAGTCGGAGGTTCAGGTGTTAGGCACTTGACCTATAATCTCCAGGTCCTTGGTTCGAATTCCGCCATGTGTGTTAGATATATACAATTATCCTAAGTTCTTACGGTGAAGGAAAACATTGTGATGCAACCTATTTAAGAAGAAATTCAAAGATATATGTGAAGTCTACTAACCCGAACTTGGCCAATGTGTTTGACTATGGCCTAGTCTCCCCTAACTTAGGGAAGGCTCCGAGCCTCTCAGTGGGGACTTATAGTAAGCTGGTGATAAACCAAAATAAATTTAATTACGTCAGAACTTTTATTATCTTTGTGTGCTAAGTAAAGACTATCAAAATATCTGTCTTTTACTCCATTAGTTCAGTTAGCTAATGAAGTAAATACGATAGTCGATGTCCACTTCGTTTTCCAGTTTTTCGCCACATTACCATTTCAAGCGGTATCCGAGTCGGCGGAGGGTAGGCCACTAATTAGATCGAATTAAACAGATTGGGATAATCAGCGAGACACGATTTGTGCATTAAAACTCTTGGCTAAGGGCATCACGTGATTCGTAATTAGACGATTACCGAAACCAATCGATTTAATGAAAGTTAGATAGCGGCCCGCTAGTCCGCCCATTAAACCTATGCCCTGATGAATAAAAAAAACGTATTTAAATAATGAGTATAATTATATATTTTTTTTCACGATGCCACGGATGTTACTTGTTGCGGTATCATTAAGAACTTTATTGTCTTAATATAGCTAATTATATATTTTTTTCGGCACTTAATTGAAACGGCGAAAGAAAGAACATTTATTACGAAAATTTGAAATGTCATGGTTTATATAAATGCGTTATGTTAATGCCGACTTTAACGGGCGTGTAAGACGCATTGATAATGTTTTAGATTTTGGTGGGGCCGTTTTGTTCGCGGGAAATTAGTCTTGCTCGGTTGCCGATGTATCTTTGTTGGAACTATCGTTGTTTTATTACGTTCGGCGTCTTTTGTAATTAACTATATTATTTTATTGTCTCTATTAATAATTTTCGTTGTAGAAAGTCATGTTTTAACGTTCATATAATGTTACGCCGTGACCGATGCGTTTAATATTTAATAAATTTTAATTTGTGAGCTAAATACTTAGATGCATTGCCCGATTAGGGACGGAGTCATTATGAATATTTTGTTATACGTACAGACAACAGAACATCGATTTTATTGCTTCGATTAACGGTTTTGGTCTACACAATTACATGTATACAAGATTACTATGTAAGAGATATTTACAATGGTTAGCATATATCGTAAATATGTTGACATAAACTCAATATGCATCTTTAACGGAATACACTTTACATATTTTTTCTCTCTGTGTTTCTGGGTTTGTATTTCTGTGTTACAATATTACGGCCTATAGTTTGAATTGCTTGATGATTTTGAAATAAGCGTTTGAACAAAAGACGATCGTATTATTGTCATGCCAATTCTCTCTCAGTCGGATTCTTTTGTTTACTTACCAGTACATTGCTTGTCAGCAGGCATGGGGTCGCCGACGCCTGTGGGCAATAGCAGCATGCTACCGCCTGCGCTGCCCTCGCCCATGCCGCAGCTGATCCTTGCCTCCGGTCAGCTGGTGCAGGGAATACAGGGCGCGCAGCTCCTCATACCCACCTCGCAGGGTAGGTGATTTTATTGCTTATCAAAAAATTCGGCACAATATATAGTACTTATTCAAATCGCGTATTGTCGATTCTCCAAACTTTGTTAAACTATTCATTACAGCAAATATATTTATGATTTACAAAACATATAAAACTTTTAAAGTTTCAAGTACATCAGTTGATGTACAATTAAACAAATATTACAATTTCAAGGTAAATTAATAAACTGGTAACTTTTGACAACTCATATTATTATATTAACTAACAATAATCCAGATATTCTTCAACAGGAATTGCGACGCAAACCATCCTCACGATACCCGTCAATCACGTGAACTCAAACGACCAAATGGTCAACTTGGCGCTGAACAATGGCCAAGTGGTGTCAACATCATTAGCCAATCTCCAAGCGATGGCCCAACCTCACCAGCTACTCAACTCTAACCCGCAACAGCCGGCTAACATTCGACCCAACATGCTAAACCCGACGCTATCGAACGCGCTACTGAACCCGGGTTTGCCAAACTTCTTGACCAACGGAGCTACCAATGCTCAAGAGCTATTACAAGCACTTCAACAACAACCGCAAGGGAATCACAACCTTCTGCAAACAGTGCAACAGAACAATTTGCCGCAGCAGATGCAGGGCAGGCGGTCGTCTTCGCCGCGCTCCGACAGGCATTACAAGGAGAGGGAGAACTTTGACAGATTTGGTGGAGGTCCCAGAGAGAGGAATGAAAGGGACAATGTTGGTGCAGCTGCTTTAAACAGTATTAACAGGTGAGTGATTGATCCTTTACTTTAGATTTTTGACGCAGGCAAAGGAATGCATATCACGAAGAGAGTGATGAGATCTTAAAGTGAGGTATCTGTTTATGACATCCGATGCAATCTAATGTTATCAAAACAAATACTTAATCCCGCTATCAAGAATTATCGCCTACAATTATCAAGGAACGTTTTAAAATCGTCAATTTGTCAGAATAGCGACCTTACGACTTTGAGAATTGGGCCGTAATGGTGTACAGATAAGGCAGGCTCGGAGCGTGGGTGCGATGACAAATGTTGCTTGTAATTAAGTGACAATGAGTGTAATTACACTCGGCCGACGCCGCTACACACGTGTGCGCATTGTGTTTGTATGTGTGCGTGTTTATGCATGTCCGTGTTACTAATCAACGGCTGTTGTGAGACAAGTAGGGTAAGCATTCCAAACTGATTTCATAGTAACAATTTATACATGTTAATATGAGAAATTAAGACTTTAGAGATATTAAGGATTAGATACACCACTTAGGAATTAACTAGTAGATAAAAAAGTGATTGACTTTTTTACTCTTTGACAGCATCCTTTGGTGTTGTTAAGTCGCAGTGTAGTTAGTGGCTTTTCTACGTAACCTTTTTTCGTGTCTTTTTTTCGATATACAACGATTATATTCTTGTCTCGCTTCTTCATAATAAAGGGTTCAATGAGATATCTTACTCCTTACTAACATAAATGCGAATGTTTAGATGGATGTTTGTTTGAAAGTATCTCCGAAACGGCCCAACGAAATTTGATGAAATTTGGCATACATGTAGAACATAGTCTGGAAGAACACACTGGCTACTTATATTGTTTTTTTTATTCCGCGCGAACGGATTTTTACAACTAGTTGTATATATTGTCACCTAAACGAATGTAAGAACTAAATAAACTAAAAAGTAAAATACCTTTGTAACCTACAATAAAAAAAATATATAAAGTACAATAAAACATTACTAATTAAAAATGAATGAGTAATGCGGCGCATGCAAAAACAATATTACCATTTCAATTCATTTTGAATAGAAAGAGTTGATGGTATCGCGTAGGGTAATGTCCCTTTGCTCATTAACTCTAATTATTTGGTTCTCGTAATTCTTTATTACGAAAAAAAAAGTAATCTATCAAACCTTCTGTTTTATCTATAATGAATGTTTTGAATTAGGAATGTGTTTTCTTTTTTTTTAAATGGCAGCAAATTCTTTCTACTTTGACATTTAGTTATAAATGGTAAGGAACATATTTATAGTTAACGCCTGCTACTTACTTTTTTTTTAATAAAACATGTTTATGACATAAATACCTTTGAGACGTATTTATTTATAGTTTAACTTATATCTTGTATGTATTGTAATGTGTGATTAAATTTAAACTCGTTTTTAGAAGTTTTACCGTGGGTTTTTGAGACCGAAATCCGCGTTTAAAACATTTTTATCTCTGTTATGTCAAAGATGATGACAGGGATAACGGATAAATATTACCAGTGCCACTCATCCTGATGAAGGGCCCCCGATGGGCTCGAAACTAGTCGGTGCCGCCACCGGACGTATATACGTGAGTGTTTAGCCGTGTTTATATATCAGTTTAGTATAATGTCTCACGAAAGTTTGAATAATTTAACAGGGATAACGGTTTATTTTATACAAAGATTATAGGTCTCAGAAATGGTATGATGTTAAACATTTTTCATAACTCGGGTGGGTTTATTAGATTGATTTAAAGATTGAGAAAAATGACATCTATGTATAAATTAGTACAACAAAATAATTAACTAGTGTCGTGCGTGTTTTTCCCTTGACTTTTTTACATTTTTTTTTAAAACAGCTCATAAAATATTATATAAATCGCAATGAAAAGTGATTAGTTATTTGTCATCGCGCCATATGCAAGTGAGGTGTAAAAAACATTTAATGACATGTCGCTCAGAAACGTGCTTGAAGCGACAAAATGTAAAAAGTAAAAAGAATAGGTTAAATTTTTTATATTTTTTTTTATATCATAAGGTGACAAACGAGCGGTCATCTGAAATCACTGAAATAGAGAAGTGACCGTTTCCGATAGACATACGCAATTGCATATGCGTTGCCTACCTTTAATCGACGAAGGAGAGGATGCTCAGAAATAAAATATTCTCCCTTCTCATGCATCCTCTCATCCGGAAAGTCCACTTCCACTTCCCATCCTTTCCTTATAAGAAAACGGGTGGGAAGGGAAAGGCGACTAAATTAGGCCTCCGGGACGCAACTCCGCGTTTCGACTGATGCGTGCCAGAGGCCTACTTCTAGTGCATATTCTCTTCACACCCATTTAAAAAAAAATGGAAAGGGGGATTAGATTTGTCGGAAGAGGGGACGTATAAGTAGGGGAAATATCCCATTTCTATGCGTCCTCGGTTGATTAAACGTAAGCAACGCATCTGCAATTGCAGATGTCCATGGACATTCGCTTTGCTATTTCGGCGAATTCAGGTGGCCGCTTACTCGTTTGCCAACTTTTAATGTAAAAAATATATATTTATATATAGATAAATATAGTTAGAATGTTGATAGTAAACACTTAAATATTGTTTTGATGGAAGAAATAAAACAGTTAATATACGACGTAGGAAAGTAACTCAGCCACACAGGACGATAAGGTCAAGTTAATTATTTATCTTTTTATTTTGACATCGCGATCAAATGTGCTTGTTTACAAGTTAATGCCCATATTGGTGTTTCACTCTACAAGGAAATAGGACAATTCATATGTAAACTATAGTAATTGTAACATGTTTAGAATTATCGTTAACAATAATATGTGGTATGTTTTTTTTTTAAGTTTTATTAAACTTGTCATTTGGATAACATGAATATTTATATGATCAGTACGATGGTTTTATGTAAACGATATATCATGTACTAGGAAACAATAATCGCAAAGCTTGATGGAACAATAAAATGCGATCGCTTTTTGTCTTCACTACGATATAACTGCTGCCATCTGTTGACCATTAAACTTAACAAAACTATTAGTATAAAATCGTGTTTAGGTAAACAACGAGCTTTGATAACAATTTTTAAGTATTGACGATTATAAATATGTACGGTCACTTTCAATTTACTAATATTTTTAATGAGAATTTTTGGATGGATGTTTATTAGAAGGTATCTCCATAAAGGCTCAGCCGATCTCAACAAAATTTGGCATAGATGTAGACCACAGTCTCGAAGAACAGCTAGACTACTAATTAATCTTTTTACTTCCGCGCGAGCGGTATCGCGGGCGCCACCTTGTCAGTGTTAAATTGTAAAGTAACCACTACAACTAAACACAAAAAAATCTTTGTTCTATTATTTCTTTATTACCTGCCAATACTCTGCACAATTAGAGAAATAAATTAGGTTTCCCACTGATAGGACAGCTAGCAGTTTTGTCTTCCACAAACAAATCATGTCTGTATTGTTGGGAAGGTATTTCCAAACGGCTACGACTTAGGTTCCTTCAAGAAGCGAGCGTATCACCATCTTAAGGACCGGCAACGCTTCTGCGGTTCCTCTGGTATTGCTGATGTCCATAGGCGTCGTTGAACACCTCGGTGTTCCCGCTGCTCGTTTGCTCCCTTCTGTTATTAAAAAGGGAATATCATCCCAGGATGACTAAGGTTATTTTTATAAGTAGTTTTTTTTATTTCTGCGCAGACTTTCTATAAAATTAGAAAAATAGTTGAAGTAAAAAAATTTGTAGTTGTATATTTATAGAGTAGTACAACATAATCTGCGTATAGTTACACGAACATAATAAGGAAAACCAAGGCGCCCATTCTACTATTATCTACTTTAATGAGGTATTTTATGCTAATTGCAGACAGGATGTAATGTAACTTGGTGCCGTTGATATAATTACATAAATAATGCTGCATTCACGCATTATAAACAATTTTCTGGTGTTGGCCGTGCGGAAAACGTAAAAAACGACAATAACTGTCGCATGTACCCTACACGAATTGTAATGCAACTGAAAACATATTGTTATCCCTTTCATATCTTTTAGACAGAACAGAGAAGACAATATGTTTTTTATAATTATGTTGCGGCAACAGAAGCTCATCTTTATATCTAACTGTATTTTTACATGCATCGTTATAAAGAAAATTATAAATAAAACATATAATTTGATAAGACATTTTTATATTACACTAGCTGTCACACGCGACTCAGTCTGCGCGGATTTAAAAAAAAAATTAGTAGCCTATGTGTTCTTCCAGACTATGTGCCATATACATGCCAAATTACATCGGGATCCATACAGCCGTTCTCCATACCGGATACCGTCAAACAATCATTCATCTATCCATCTACCCATCCTCATATTGAGGGGATAATCATCAATATTGAGGGGAAATTATAGCCATAATATTATATAATAAATGCGAATGTTTGGATGGATATTTGTTTGAAGGTATCTCACGAACAGTTTAACAGAACTCGATGAAATTCAGATGTAGACCATAGTCTGAAACAACAAATAGGTTGAATATTAATTTAAACTCCGCACGGATGAAGTCGCCGACAAAAGCTATTAAAAAATAATTTAACTTAATTATCTTAATATTAGCAATAATTTCAAATTATTTGTAAATTAACTCGTAATTTTCTAAATGTATTTTACAAATAATGGATGGATTGAATTGCAATACAATCGTGAAAAATGTATTTCATTATAATTGTCTAAACGTATGTACAAATTTAATTTAAACCCACGCGATAATAAAATACGATAACAGGTTATAAAAAGCGACTGTAACTCGCTAATAACATTGTAATGAATGGAAAATAACAATCGTATAATATAATTAATATTACCTTATTGTTATTTCATATCGCAACAAAACTACAACTTCATCGGTAATTTGGACTATGTTATTTATTGTTCGATTTATCTTCAAACTGAGAGCGTCGTCTTGACTTGCAATATGCAGGTCCTGGGTTCGAATCCC